ATTGGGATATAATTCACATACCATAAAATTTGTTCTTTTAAAGTATATAATTTAGTGATTTTTAGTATATTCAGAGTTGTACAACGATTACCTAATTCCAGAACATTCTTTTTTTTTTTTTTGGAGATAAGGTCTTGCTCTGTTATCCAGACTGGAGTACAGTGGCACAATCTTGGCTCACTGCAACCTCTGCCTCCCAGGTTCAAGTGATTCTTCTGCCTCAACCTCTTAGCTAGGATTACAGGCACCTACCACCACGCCTGGCTGATTTTTGTATTTTTAGTACAGACAGGGTTTGACCATGTTGCCCAGGCTGGGAGAACATTCTTATTACTCTAAAAAGAAACCTTGTACCCAGTGGCAGTCATGCCCTCAGTTCCTGCCTCCCGCAGCCCCTGGCCACCACTCACCTACTCCCTGTCTCTATTTGCCTGTTCTGGGCAGTTCTCAGCAATGGAATCCTACTGTGTATCTTTTTGTGACTGGTTCTTTTACTCAGCATCACGTTTCCAAGGTTCATCCATGCAGCACCCTGGGTCAGTGACACAGCTTCATTTCTCTCTCTCTTTTGTTCAGACCAGGTCTCCCTCTGTCCCCAAGGCTAAAGTGCAGTGGTGTGATCACGGCTCACTGCAGCCTCGAACTCCTAGGCTTAAGCAATCCTCCCACCTCAGCCTCCCAAAGTGCTGGGATTATAGGTGTGAGCCACTGCACCCAGCTAAATAATTTCATTTTTTATCTTTGTAGAGACAGGGGTCTTGCTGTGTTGCCCAGGCTGGGCTCAAACTCCTGATCTCGAGTAGTCCTCCTGTCTCCCAAAGTACTGGGATTACAGGTGTGAGCCACCACGCCCAACATTTCATTTCCCTTTATAGCTGAACGATATGCCACTGTACGGACAGACCACAGTGAACTCCTTTTTTTTTTGTGGCGGGCAGGGGACAGAGTCTCGCTCTGTCACCCAGGCTGGAGTGCAGAGATCTCAACTCACTGCAACCTCTGCCTCCTGGGTTCAAGCGATTCTCCTTGTCTCACCCTCCCAAGTAGCTAGGACTAAAGGCATACTCCACCATGCCCAACTAATTTTTATATTTTTAGTAGAGATGGTGTTTCACCATGTTGGTCAGGCTAGTCTTGAACTCCTGACCTCAAATGATCTGCCTGCCTTGGCCTCCCAAAGTACTGGGATTACAGGCATGAGTCATCACACCTGGTAATCAACTCTTTCTTAACTAGCACAAGGCCTTTCCAGCAGCCATTTAACAGATACTTGTTGGATGGAGGTGGGACAGACAGGACTGGCACTTCCCATGAGAAATGGCCCCTCTCTCCCCTACACCTCATCACGCCAAACAACACAGAAACAGGAGAGGCCCTGGGTCCCCTGGATCCCTCTCTCTTGGCCCCCACCTGATGTCTGCATGCCCAGGCCCAGGCGCACATGGCCATACCCACTACCTGTAGTGAAGGACAAATCGACACGCCACGGCACCCAGGAGCAGGATGATGGTCAGGTAGAGCTTGAACTTCTCATACTCGTCCTTGTAGGCAAACCTGCCACGACAGACACGCCCAGGGGAGTGCCCCTTACCGTGACTATTCCAGTACCTGGGCATGGCCCTTAGCCCCATCAGACCCTTGTCCTACAGCCACTGCCATGGCCCATAAGGACCTTTCCATCCCACTAAAGGAGAGACCTGGCCTTGACAGATTGGTGGTGACCAATGAGGGGAAGAGGGCCAAGTATGCAGAAGGCCCATGTCCCTGGACTCTGGTCTGGGGCTCTGGGCCCATGCTGGAGACAGGCAGGGGGCAGAGACAGGGCCTCTTCCATCAACCAACTGCTGCTGCTGAAAGGCCAGGGTTTGCGGCCGTCTGGAAATGGGGTAGACTCAGGGTAGACAGGACTGCCCATCTCCCAGGAGAAGTGTGTGCGTGATAGGGCATGGAACAGAGCAGGGCTATTTGGGAAATGGGAAGTCCCATCCACCCAACATACTGACTCTGAAAAAGGAAGGAAGGCAGGAACGCCTCTCCCAGGTGCGAGAGGAGGAGAGTGTCAGAAACTCCAACAGCGAGAGCCTCACCTGTGAACAGGTTTTTATTTATGCAAAAATTCTAGCTTGGATGCATCTTCCCTGAGCTGAAGGAGCAGAACACCGGAGGTCTCTGAGCCAAGCGGGAAGTGTGGGGTGGGGTGTGGGGTGGGGTGTGGGGTGGGGTGCAGGATAAGGTGTGGGGTGAGAGTGGGGTGTGAATATGGGGTATGGGGTATGGTGTGGGTATGGGGTATGGTGTGGGTATGGGGTATGGTTGTGGGTGTGGGGTATAGTGTGGGTGTGGGGTATGGGTGTGTGGTGTGGGTGTGGGGTATGGGTGTGTGGTGTGGGTGTGGCATGTGGGATGTGGGGTGTG